CGGGGGGCGGCCGAGCCCCGTCGGCGTCCGACCCCCGGCCCTGCCTCCGCCACAGGTACCTGTGCGACTTCACCTACTACACCTCCCTGTACCGGAGCCACGGGCGCTCCGCCTTCGTCCACGTGCCACCGCTGGGCAAGCCCTACGACGCGGGCCAGCTGGGCCGGGCGCTGCAGGCCATCATCGAGGAGATGCTGGGCGTGCTGGAGCGCGTGGACGGCCAGGCCGGCTGCTGTCGCCGGCCCTGAGCCCACCGCACCGCACGAGGCTGGCCGCAGGCGCCTGCTGCCCTCCCGGGACTGCGGCGGGGCACCAGAGCGGCCACGCTCCGCCGGGCCGTCCATACCACAGCCACTGCCCCTGCCTCGCCAGACTGTGCGCAAAAGACCCCCAGTGCTCACTCAGCCTGGGCTGCACTTGAACTCACCATGGCTCCGGCCACCCCCCCCCCTCGTTTGTCTCTCTCTTCTTTTGGAGACAGGATCTTGCTATGCAGCCCAGGCCGGCCTGGAACTCACGATCCTCCTGCTTCCCAACGGCCACCATGCAAACAACAGCATCATTCTGGGCTGCAGAGTAACTTAGGTCTCCTTGGGGAAAGCACTGGCGAGAGCCAGCTCCAAGTTGTTTTTTTGTTTGTTTTTGTCAGTCGTGGGGCCTGAACTCTGGGCCTGGGCACTGTTCCTGTGTTCTTCAGTGCAAGGCGAGCACTCTAGCACTGTGAGCCACAGTGCCACTTCTGGTTTTCTGGTGATTCAGTGGAGATAGGAGTCTCATGGCTTTACTACCTGCCTGCACTGGCTTTGAACCATGGCCCTCAGATCTCGTCCTTCTGAATTGCTAGGGTGACAGGCGTGAGCCAACAGTGCCTGCTTACCAAGAGTCTTTTCTATCTTCTGGGATGCATCCCTTCTTCTTCTTCTTCTCTTCTGTGCAGCCTTTTTTCTCCTCCTCCTCCTCCTTCTTTCTTCTTCTTTTGCCTCCTGCCCTGAAAACTGGACTTTGGACTGCACATTAGCTTTGGGGCTTAGCCCTGATGGGCAGTCACGGCGTGGCCGGGCTGCAGCTCTCTGGTCACTGTGAATTATCTGCGGTGCAGCAATGGAAGCCTTGAGGAGCCCACACAGTCTTTGCCCATCCTGGTGTGGGTGGACTGGAGCTGGGCAGGTGCGGCCAGCGGGCCTGGCCAGCAGAGAAGCAGTGCCCCTGTGGTTTATGTTTGCGGTTTTGGAGACATGCTTTCAGGACTCTGGAGCCGGTGTCTGCTCCCTGGCAGGAGGAGCCCCTCCCTGCGGTGGCCGCCAGCTCCACCCCATCGCCACGTGTGACACCACGTGGCATCGGCTTCATCCCTCCCACTGCGCAGCCCGGGGACCAGGCAGATGCCGGCACTGGGCACGCACTGCTGGTCTCCTCGGAGTCTCTTCCTCCAGCCGGGCTTCCTGCTGGCCAACTGGCTCCAACTGTGATCCTGGGGCCTCAGCCTCCTGAGCAGCGGGGATTGCAGTGTGGCCCTTGGGACCCGCTCTTCATGGGTTTCTGAGCCATTTCTTCGGTGTTGTGTTTATCCTGGTGGGAAAAGCAGGTGTGGTGGGGCCTTCACTCCGCAGGAGTGGCCAGGTCCCTGCCGTCCCGTGCTCTGCTCCCTCCACGTCCTCTGTCCCTGCCTGGGGTCTCCTGAGAACACCTGGACCAGACACAGACCTCCCCAGCAGCTCACATCAGCAGTCAGTGCCGGCCTGCTCAGGGCACCCCGGGGCCTGGATGTGGGGACAGGGAGAGCCCAGGACACCCCAGGGCCGCTCTGCAGCTAGGAGGGGAGTTGCCATCCTGTTTCCCAAGTTCGGGGGCCACAGGTGCGTACCAGGTGCCGGGTGGGCACCGGCTGTCCTAGCCCGTGTGCTGGGGGGGCCTCAGGCATCCTGGGGTGCACGGCCTGCAGCCTGCCCCTCCCCAGGCTCTCCGGCTCTGGTCTGCATGGATCCCTGTGTCCAGGGCCTGGGTCAGCTGAGGGGCCCTGAGTACTCGGAGTTTTCCCTGTGGGCGTGGCCTGGCAGGCCGCCTGGGCATGGCCAGCAGAGGTGGGTGGGGCTGGTAGTGTGGGTGGGGCCGGTGGGTGTGGCTGGCAGGCCAGGTCACAGGGGCGGGGCCTGCTGGGGTTGGGGCCCTGGGCCAGGGAGAGGCTGAGAGCTTGCAGGAGGCTGGTGGCGGATGGAGAGGCTGGAACTTGGGGTGCCCCCGGCCCCCAACCCAAGACTGCGTGGCTACAGACGCAGAAGGAAGATGTTTTGTCTGAGTTTCTGGGGACAGCTGGTCCCTGGAGGGAACCAGCAACACTCCCTTTCCCCTCCTCCTCTGCCCCCACCTCTGCCCTCCTCTCCCTGCTCCCTTTAGATTGCCCTGGACGCCCCAAGACGCTGCCCCCCAGATTGCCCTGGACGCCCCAAGACGCTGCCCCCCACTCCTGCCCTGCACACAGAGCACCTGGACCCCTGCTGGCTTCAGGTGGCTGTGGACATCTGAGCCTTTGTGGGGTGACAGCTAGTGTTGGGGGGGAGGGGCCCTTGCCTGATTGGGGCCTGGCTTGTTTCTGGGGACCCCCTCAAAGTGTCAATGTGTTCAGTTCCCCTCTGGGAAAAGACCTCCCTGTTGAAGGTGCCTTGTCCCCAACCCAGGGCCCGGCCCCTCACCCCCAAAACTGCCAGTGCCTTGTCTGGGAGCCCTGGGCCCCAGACACCCGGGGACCCAGCCATGGGGACCCCCAAACCTGACTCGAAAGCAATAAAACGTTGGGTGGGGTCCTTGGCGCCTGCACTTTGTGACGTCATCCGCACTGCGATGTGGACGCAGCTGTGCCCTGAAAGCAAGTGGCCGCCTGGGGAACATGTTTCTGCATGCTGCTGGGCTCTGCTGTGCCCCCCTACCCCCCACCCGGGGCTCCAGCCCTGCCCAGCAGTGGCCAATGTGGGCGCTGGCCGGCTGAGCACGCCCCCGGTGTGATGGGTGCAGGCGTCCCCACCATGCCCTGTGACATGGGCCGGCCTTGAACCTCCTTTTCCTGCTCTCTGCCCCCTGGGGTGCAGCCACTTTGCTCAGCTTTTCCCTTGCGGTGCCGGGATGGCACCAGGACGCACACAGGCCACAGGGCCCGCGGCCCCCTGCCGGCCCCGCTGTGCCCTTCACACCAGGACCAGGCGCTGTGTCCTGTCAGCGCCCCATGGAGGCCTGGCCCTGTGCCAGCTCTGGGGCCCGCAGGGAGGCTACGCGACGGAGCATCCTCCCTCGGAGCCGTGGGCCCTAGGCTGGGGTGCAGCAAGGAACAGTGGCCTCCAGGCCAGAAGGAAAGAAAGCTGCCTGGAGGGGGCAGGGGGTTCCTGGGGCCCATGTGGAGCTTGGCCCAAATGGTAGAGCTCCAGCCTTGAGCCAAAAAGGCAGAGGATGGCACCCAGGACATGCACACACACACACACAGAGATGCGCACAGACACGTGCACACAGGCACGCATGCGCACACGCACACAGAGACACATGCACACAAGGCACAGACACATAGATGTACACACAAGGCACGCACGCTCACAGGCACGCACGCACACAGGCACGCACACACGCACGCACACACACACAGATGCGCACAGACACGTGCACACAGGCACGCAAGCGCACACGCACACAGAGACACGTGCACACAAGGCACAGACACATAGACGTACACACAAGGCACGCACGCACAAGGCACGCACGCACAAGGCACGCACGCACGCACACACACACAGAGATGCGCACAGACACGTGCACACAGGCACGCATGCGCACACGCACACAGAGACACGTGCACACAAGGCACAGACATATAGACGTACACACAAGGCACGCACGCACACACAGATGCGCACAGACACGTGCACACAGCCACGCATGCGCACACGCACACAGGCATGCACGCACACACAGATGTGCACAGACATGCACACAAGGCACAGACACATAGACGTACACACAAGGCACGCATGCGCACAGGCATGCACGCACACAGGCACGCACGCACACAGGCACGCACGCACACAGGCACACACGCGCAGACACAAACGCACAGGTGCACAGACAGGCACAGGTGCACACACACAGAGACAGACATACAGGCACATAACACATGCACAGACACACCCACCCACAGGCACACACGCACAGAGGCATGCATACACACACGCACAGCCCTGTTCCTTCACTTCTGATGACCCCGTCCTCTCTCCCAAAAAACATGTCTCTGAAGTGGCGCTGTGGCTCCAGTGGTAGAGTGCTCGCCTGGAGCTGAAGACCTGAGGGACAGCGCCCAGGCCCAGAGTTCAAGCCCCATGCCCGACAAAAACAAAAAATGTCACCTCTAACCACACCCCTCAAAACCCCAGGGCTTGGGGAAGATGCTGGCTGCGGGGCCTGGGTGGTCCTAGCCGGCCGCCCCAGGGACGGGCACAGCCTGGCCGGGCACCTTGTAGGCACGTGATGGGCGCCGGGCTGGGGGGGTTGGGGGAGCTGGGGGGACCCGGGGGCCGCATGACGTGCCTCAGCTGATCCACTTCCTGCCAGCCCAGCCCGGCAGCCGCCAGGGCCTCTTCTGCCCCCGTTCTGCTGAGTCACCATTGCTGCCCCACTGGGTCTCAGGTCACGGCTGGCCACACAGCCCCCCACGCCGGGACAGGAAGACGGGGAGGACCCCGCGGCCTCCAACCGGCCCCAGCCCGATCTGGTGCCTGCACACACCCGTCAGCGCCTTGCGAGGTTACACCAGGTGGAGGGAAATCATGCTCTTCACGGAAGCTGGAGACGCTTCCGGAACCTCAGGTCTCCCCGGTGTCAGCAGAGGACAGGCCACAGCCGTGGTGTGGAGCGCAGACCCGGGCCGGGGGGCCCAGCCCGTGGCGAGGGCCGGACCGCAGCGCGATGTTTCTGAGCACACAGCCCGTGGTCTGCACCGGCTCTGTTCACGGCTCACAGGCTGGCCCTGTGCTCACCGTCTGCCCTTGGCCCCGCAGTCAGGCGGTGGTCTGGCCTGCACTGGGACGCTTGGCAGGAAGAAGTGTTAAGCCCGAGGGCACGTGACATGGGGACTTGCATCTCCGCCTCTTGTCTCTGCGATTGCTGACCACCAGGCAGTGGACGCATCCTGCTGGCCCCCCCTCCCTGCTCCGCCACCCTGTGCAGGGCTGGTACGGGGGGGGGCTTACTATGGGGCCACAGAGACAAACCCTTCCTGCTATAGGCCGCCTGCCTCAGCACTGAGAGGCTGGCCAAAGCCTAGCACCGCAGCTACTCAGGAGGCTGAGAGCTGAGGATCGCCGCAGGAGGCCGCCCAGAAAGGAAAGGCTGTGAGGCTCTTATTCCAGTGAACCACTCAAAAGTCAGAAGCAAAAGCTAGGAGCCGGTGGCCCATGCCTGTCATCCTAGCTACTCAGGAGGCTGAGATCTGAGGATCACATTTCAAAGCCAGCCTGGGCAGGAAGGTCCATGAGACTCTTATCTCCAATAAACCATTAGAAAACCAGAAGTGGCGCTGTGGCTCAAATGGTAGAGCACCAGCCTTGAGCTGAAGAGCACAGGGATAGCACCCAGGCCTGAGTTCAAGCCCCATGACCAACATAAAAAAAAAAAAACCCAAAGCAAGAGTCAGAAGCAGAGCCGTGGCTTAAGTGGTAGAGCACCAGCCTTGAGCACAAAAGCTCAGGAAGGACAGTGCCCAGGCCCTGAGTTCCGGCCCCAGGCCCAGCTGGCAGCGGCCCTCTACATGGACGCGGCTCTGGCACTGCCTGGCGACCCCCAGGGGCTGCGTGCCGGGGCTCTCGCGTCGCCCTTCGCTCTCCCGGAGGCTTTAGTCACATGAGTGTTTGCTGAGGGCAGGCAGCGTCCCTGCCTGGCCTGCTGGTGGCCAGCTGGTCATGGGCCGCCTCTGCTCAGGAAGGCCTGGGGGTGAGGTCATGGCTGGCTGGAGGCCCGCTCTGTGCGTCCGCCCGGCCCCGCCCAGAGAGGCACGGGGCTGCCCTGACGTCACAGGCAAAACATTTTGGGAAGCAGAGGCCCAGCTGGCCACTTGCCAAATTCCAGTGTGGTGAAGTGGAAATTTCCGGCAGGGGGAGGGGAATGCCCCCGCTGTGACCCTCGTGTCCTTGCAGAAAAGTCTGTGGACAGCTTTGGGGCACAGCGACTGGGCGTGAGGTGGAACTTCCACAGCCAGGGAAAGGAGCAAGTGGGCCCGCGGCTCGGGGCCTGAGCCGTGAGCAGGAGTGGGACAGCTCCTCGCCAGCTGTGGCTCAGAAAACCCAAACCAGCCGTGTGCCAGCGGCCCATGCCCGGCATCTCCTCCGCGGAGAGCTGAGGATGGTGACGTAGACTGGACTCCAGCGCGCCGCCAACAAGTGGAAATGCAGCTGGGCTCAAGTGGTAGAGCACAGGCCCCGAGGGTCGGCGCCCAGGCCCTGAGTTCAAGCCCCAAGATGGGCACAAGGATAAAGGCTTGGGGAGGGTGGCGCGGCCCTGCTGAGTGCCGGGTCTGGTGGGACGCGGAGGCAGTTCCAGAAGCCCCCCCCCCCGCCCCCAGCTCTCCTAGGCCACACGAGGCCCACTTAGGAAAAGCAGCTGGCCGTGACCCTGCCCGCCGGGGCGGCCCCTCACCTCCAGGGCCGCGGGTCGCCGCGCGGGCCGGAGCCTCCCCTCGGTCTCTGCAGCGCCCGCGGCTCCTGCGCTCCGACGTGATTCCCAC